TATATATATATATATATATTAGATTTCAAGAGACCCAGAATCTCGAGAGCTTTTTATCCTGAAAAACAACAATGAACTACTAGTTTCTGGGTCTTTTGAAATCTACTTGTTTGTTTGTGTGTGTGTGTGTGTGTGTGATCTTTAGTGCTAATCCTTTCACCATCTAACCTGTATAAATACTAGTGTGTGTCACGTCACGCTTGATTTTTCGAAATAGGAGGAGTCATAAAAGCCAAAATGCATTTATCCAGATAGAATGGTTCGATATTGTCTGTCCATTATAATTTTAGTGACGGGGGGTACAAGGGGGCCGTGAGGGGATTGGGTGCCGTGAAACCTTATAAGTGTAGTGAGCGTTGGTATAATAAGCCTAAAGTAAAGACATGGTGTGGGGTCACCTAGCTCAGAGCCAAGTGCATAAAATATATCATGAAAGTAAAAATATTGATTCAATTTTAAACTTAAATCGTGTCTGAATTAAGCTAGTTTCTGTTATATCACCAACGTTTTTATTAAAAAAACAAACTAACCTCTTTAATCAACAGAGACCCTAAATTAAGAAATCAACAAGTATTTTTCCAGTTTTGTTGTCTATACATTTCATTTTATACTTTCAGTTACACAGACTATTAGGTTATACTTTTGTTGCTAAACGACATGACATAAAAACCATTTTTGGAACATAGTGTTACTAAAACACACTGGCTTTTCTGTATATTAGAAGTTGTTAATATAACTGATTTTATTTAATAAATTATCTTAATTTTGATTGGCTCACAAAGGAATTTACCGACGTTTGGCTGCTTCGATTACACTTTTCTGCCTGTTAGTTGGTCAAGCTTGATTTCACAAAATTTATTTATTACAGTTAGCTATGAAATATGAGGTTAGGGTATACTATAGGGGTGGGGGTGGTAGTACTTGCCCGTCACTAGTGGTTTAATGTTTATTAGAAACATTGTTTGTGTACATTTATTTGTCACTGAGAATTTTTAACAATAATGTTTGATAGACCATAATGAAACACAATCAAATGTTTATATGTAACAATTGGCTTATTCTAAGAATGACTTATCAGTATAAACAAAACATATTGCTATTCTTCCCACTTTTTTCCAGTAATATTTTAACACTACTGTACAGGTACGTAAGAAATCCTGTAGATGACGCGACGGTACTACATTACTTATCTAATAAAATGGGCTATCTGCTCTCTATCCATTACGAAAAATCGTGCACCGGATTTTTGCATTTTAAGTCCGTGTACTTACCGCTGACCCACAGGGGGCCCAAGAGATTGGAATAGTAAATAACTATACAGAAAAATACTGACATAGAAAACATTTAAAATGTATTATTTATGTCACCGTACTTATAAAAGTACTAAACAGAAAAATACTGACATAGAAAACATTTAAAATGTATTATTTATGTCACCGTACTTATAAAAGTTTGTTATATTATTTCACGCGCTAAATCTTCTTCAAAATGACGTTTTCTCCCAAAATTCTATACCATCGAACAATTCTTTAGAGTAGGTTTCAATTCAAGGCTAAAGGAGGATTTTTGTTGTTGTTGAGTAAAAGCATTATTTTACATTAAATAAATCTCTAAAGTGAATATTTAATTCCGATAGTTTATCAATTTCTTTTGCTGAAACATCGCTTCCATATTGATAATTTGCTAAAGCAGAGATTAGAAGTCCAATAGTCATTTAAACCGTAAAATGATTTCTGAATATTTATTTCTAAAGTAAAACGTATCGAAAAAAAAACCCTCATGGTACACGATCATTTTCTAATTGTTTTGTTACGTAGTTCAGATGCTACATGATTTTGTTGGTGTTCGTTACTCCTTCTATCGGATCCTGACTGATCTGTTAAAAATCTGGAAATTCCCTGCTCATAGCATAATTCAACACAGAATGTAGATATTAGCTCCAGATTGTTAAGCTGCTAAGTCCTTAGTCGATTGGTTTAATGTTTAGTTTTTCAGCTTACCGAGTCATGAATCAGTTAGTTTACTTAATTACTAGCTTTTCAAACTAGCAACTATTCAACTTATTTGTTCAATATCTAGTTTTCAACCTGCTAAATCATTGATTAGTTTTAATCTCTTGCTTCTCAACTCAACTAAACCCTTAACAAGTATCTTTACTTAGCCAGTTGTTTTTAATTCACTGCATCATTAGTCAGTTCATTTAACTCGAATTATCCAACCTACTGATCCTTTTATCACTTTATTTAATCTGAAGTTTAAAGCCGACCGATTCTTTCGTCAGTTAGTTTACTTAATCCCTAGTGTCCATCCTACCGATTCTTTCGTCAGTTAGTTTACTTAATCCCTGTCCATCCTACCGACTTTTTTGTCAGTTAATGTACTCAATCTTTAGTGTCCATCCTACCGATTCTTTCGTCAGTTATTTTACTTAATCCCTAGTGTCCATCCTACCGAGTCTTTTGTCAGTTAGTTTACTTGATCTCTAGTGTCCATCCTACCAAGTCTTTTGTCAGTTAGTTTACTTGATCTCTAGTGTCCATCCTACCGATTCTTTTGTCAGTTAGTGTACTCAATCACTAGTGTCTATCCTACCGAGTCTTTTGTCAGTTAGTTTACTCAATCTCTAGTGTCCATCCTACCGACTTTTTTGTCAATTAGTGTACTCAATCACTAGTGTCCATCCTACCGAGTCTTTTGTCAGTTAGTGTACTCAATCTTTAGTGTCCATCCTACCGAGTCTTTTGTCAGTTAGTTTACTTGATCTCTAGTGTCCATCCTACCGATTCTTTTGTCAGTTAGTGTACTCAATCACTAGTGTCCATCCTACCGAGTCTTTTGTCAGTTAGTGTACTCAATCTTAGTGTCCATCCTACCGAGTCTTTTGTCAGTTAGTTTACTTAATTTCTAGTTTTACAACTCATGCGCTATGTCTTTAATTAAACCAGAAATACAATCGCCTGCTAATTTCCCAAATATCGTTTCATAGAAGAATGAAGAAGTTTCACACTGAGAGACTTATTTTGTAAGTTAAAGACATTCGGGAAAAATCAAAAACCTCAAAGTAAGCCTTGCTATGACCAATACAAGAGTTGTTTCAAGACTCAGGAAATGGGAGTACAAGATCATTGAATCTCAATATATACTTTGAATGCATAAGGAATTGCATAATTCCAGATGTAGTAAATGAACAATGTACAGGAAACACATCCTGTTACAGAAACTAAAAGCACGAAACAGGAAGTTTTACTCACACTTGTACTCCAAACTAATAATGATGCAGAAAAATTTCCCTGAAGTAGCTATAACATGTGGAACTCTTATCTACAAATGCGTTCTAGAACCACCAGAAAATAAGAATAAACCAATAATATTAACTACCGTAAAATTAACAGGTCATGCGCAAAGCACATTTATAACTTGAAATTACGTACGCAGCCCACAAAATTACTACATAGCATAATGAGTATCTTACGACATCAGCATTTACTACTAACTATAATCATGCGGGAAAATCTGAACGAAACATTTATAATACAAGGAGCTAGTTATTAAGTATTTCCTACTCGTCAGTTTTATTTCTTCACGAATAAACGTAATTACTAAATTGCACCAATGACAAAGTCCCTTGAGTCAAGGAGAGTTTACAGCATATATATATACACCCCTATTCGTGGTGTAATGTGTCTTTTTATGCGCT